GCACGAATCGTTGGAGCACGGCATCCACTTTTCACAGGCAGAATCAAGCCTGTTCAAGTGCTTGCCATATTGATTTCTGTGTTTTTGGCAACATGGAGACAGGACAGAAACTTGTGCTCATGGCGGAGTCTGAGTATGAGTTTCTCCCGGGGCTAACAGGAAAGACCTGTTCCCCAAGTTGTTGACGTTGAAGAGCCAGATATCTCATGCTACGCCATATCGGCCCAGCAGCTTTTGAGGACCTCCATGCTGCAGTTCAGTTCCATTACGCAGGCAGACCGTGAATTGTTTGTTGCTGCTGCTAGTTGTCGCTGCGCAAAGGCCTCGGTCTCATCTGCAGGAAACAAAGCAATTGCAGTTTGCAGTTTGGATCGGTGTGCCCAAACCCCAAATGTTTCCATTCTCCCATTCAATTCAGGCTGGTTGAGCAGGGTCCAGAACTTAGAAGGAACTACGAGAATCTGCCAGTCGATTGGGAGCCGGCAATGAGGCTGTCGCACAGAGCTGGCAAATTGGCTGCAAGCGCCCGCCTCGAAGCATGTCGGGTTTCAACAGGTCCTTGCCCAGATCGGTGCCAATGTAGTATGCCTTCATGCAAATCTGCAATGTCGATTCTCGGCCCAATCGGAGAAAACTATGAAGCGACATACCAGGAACATGCAGCCAACCGTGCCAAGGATTGTCAACTCACAGGCGGGCTAGGTGTTTCGCAGTATACACATCAATATGCAATCGCTTGTTCTAGTTTGAGAGTTGCTGGTGAACAAGACCTGCTTCCATGTTGTCCCGGGCCGCGCGGTCCTTGGACTCTCATGGGGGAGCCGCAGCAACAGCAGCAGCCTAATCAGGAGGATGACGGGGGTCCAACCTTGTTGGAACGAGTCCTCAATGTGGGCAAGCGCTGCTTGGGTGTCTTTGCCAAGGGTTCACCACCAGAGCCCGCGCCGGAGGTGGCCGCATACCTGCAATCCATCGGTATTCAGCAGAGGCACATGCTTCAGATTTACACCGTTTTCGATTACTTGAAGCATTGTGAAGATGATGAGTCTTTCATCACAACTGTCTACTCTGTGTCCTCGGATGTAATGCCACTACTCATCGAAGACCGTCGAAAATATGTGATCAGGCTGCTGAGATGTATCCTAAAGCTAGGAGATTGTGAGGAAGAGGCCACCTGGGACAAGTTTCTGTGGGTAATGTTGCGCTTTTGTTCATTGAATCGTGTGGAGCTTGCCCAGACGCTCTTTTTGTGCATTCTTCGCATACGTGACAGTACCACGTATCACTACATTCGCAGCTACGAGCTCCAGGAGTTCTTCGCAGCTTACAAAAACTGTCCGATCAAGTCGTTTGACACGGCCGAGATCAACTTTGATTTGCTTCCGATCCGAAGATACTATGCTTCGGATTTCGCGGAACTGCTGATGAGGTACTCGGTTTTGTTGCATCCTATTCTTCATCTACAGCAATCCCTTCAATCCAAGCTTCCAAGCATGGACTTCTGGGACAACAGCACAGGGTCCGTGTCATTCTGCCGGAAGATTACCTTTGACTTTTTCATGATGGAGACAGGTCGCATTTTTCTGCGAGGCGAGCCACCGTTCCGAGAAACCTGCGACATGCTCTGCCCAGATGCTCTGGGATGCGTGCCCATCAACCAAGACCAGTGGATTTTGAGGACTTGGGTTGCGAAGGGCGGCCAAGGCCTCGCTCAGGTCTTCGTCTGGGGCGAGCAGGCGCTTCCGGAGGTCATCGACTTGCGTCAGGCGGCGAAGGAGGAGGAAGAGGAGCGAGAGCGCTTGCGTCTTGAGAGGGAGAAGGCGGAAGAGGAGGAAGCAATGGAGAAGGAGATTTCCAAAGCAGAGCTGGCAAAAATACAAAAAGAGACAGAGATAAAGTTGGAGGACATGACGGAGGAGGAGGCCAAGCGCCATCGTCAAACGCAGGCCATGGAAAAGGCTAAGCGGGAGGCCGAGATGAAGAAGGATCGCTCTATGACCGAGAAGCCTTCTTACGATCTTACTGCACTGACTCGGCAGGCTGCTGTGATGGACGAGGAGTTTGCCGCCCCTGTGGATGTCCTGCCACCTGCATGGATGAAGCACTGCACTATCGCACCGGCACAGCAGCTGCGTGGTGCAGATCCGCCCTTGGCGGTACAGTTGAAGCAGCCGGCGAAGGTCATCTACAAAGTCACGAAGGAATCGGATCGCAGGAAGGTTGCCAGGGCAAAGAGGGCTTTGACTGAGGAAGCGGAAGCTGAGGATGACGATGCGGACAGCCCGGATAATCCGGACAGCCCCGATGAAACCTGAGTTGCTGAGTTCGTTTTGTGTTGCATTCGCCCGGGTTCTTCTTGATTGTAATCGGATGCGGGAGGAATGCAATTTGTCAACAGTGTCACCCGTCTGTGCAGAAGCCGTTTGTGCAGCCAACATCTGAGTTGGGCAGGCTACTCTCCGCAGATCAGAATCTCATCTTGCATGCTTGCCTGCGCAGGCGGAAAATATGGATCAAGCAATGTACTGATGCGCATGAGTTGGAATGCCGGGGCTTTGCATCATGGATGGGTCCCATGCCTGTATTGTGAGAATGTTTCACGCTCACTTAGGCCTGGCGATTGTCTGTTCGCTTTTCAAAGATGATGGATGAATTCTCTTTGCAGCAGCAGGAGGCACCTTGCACCTGTGCTTGATCTTATGCACTTGAACGGACAGCCGCTCTAACTTCGTGCAGATGCTTCTGCTAGTCGAACGCAGCAATATGTGCTTGGCTTGGAAAGTGTGGAAGAGCACTCCGAGACAGTTGTTGAAGAGCCTCGATGTTGTGTGCAGTTGAGGTGGATTCTCCAACTTCAAGAAGAACGCCGGGAGGTTGAGGTTTCGAGACGGACATAAGCCCGCTGTGTAACATCTCACCGAACCTGCAGGAGCAGCTGATTTCTGCCTTGACGCAGGCTTGCAATGTGAGGGTTTCGCATTCACACCGAGTGCTGCAGAAGAGATAACTTTTGCGGCAGATCCAAGTCGTCACACATGCACCCGCCCACCAAACGGGAGTGCAGAAGTTTGAAGGTTCTGACCAAGTCGCACCACATAATCTCTCGACCTCAGCCAGCCAACATGTCAGTTCGGCAGTTTTAGAACATGCAGGCATGAAGAATAGGCTTCAGGAGGTAAGGCTCGATGTTTGGGAGACGGGCTGGGCTGGTAAAATCACTGGAGTGCGAGGGTGCTGTTGCCCATCTTTCCATAACGCGGGCAATATTTCAAGCATTGGGAGGGACACGGCTTTAGATATGGATCCAAGGCCTGTCCGGTGTGCCGATCCCAGGGATGAGCCGGTTCTTAGTTTTCTTGACTTCGGAACCTTAGGTTCCAAAGGGGTTGATTTTGGTGACCGATAGAGGCTTTCAAGCATTTCAGCGCCAGAGCATCTGGATGCTCATGACGCTTGTGGTACTGTGTGCTCGCAGACTGTTGGGCCATGCGATCCCTTGCTGCTGCTTCTTGCTTCTTTCCGTCGAGCAGGTTAACGAGCTGCAGCAGGCCTTGCTTGCTGTTGTCCCAACTCCATGGTTTCGTCACGACGACCAGTCTGATAGCAACAGGCCTTGTCCCTGGAGGCCAAGTGCTGCGGTGCTTTCATGCATCTCGGGCTTTGGCCCATCAGACTCCAACATCCTGGAAGGCCCGTTCAAAGGAATGCCTGGTTGACGAATTCCGGCAGCTGCAGGTTCGGCCTGCAGCGTTGTCTCTCATGGCATGCGCGCAGTAGACAAGCCATGGACCTTGCAGGAGCATTTGAGAGCCACCAAAGCGTGAAATTGCTGATAGAATGTCTCTGTGGAGCCGGAGCTTTTGTTGTAGCTGCATGAAACCGGCAGGGTTGGCAGAGTCCGCAGATGTACAGAGGAACTCGTCTCCTTGCTACACGGGAAAAATGACATCCCTCATGCTGTTCCAGATAGACCTGCCAAGACAGGAGAGCATCATCAGCATCAGCCCCTTTTGACCCTCAAATGCCCATGGGCCCGCATGATGAGCATCAGCTCCTTCGCCTTCTTCACTTTCAGGCGCTGACGAGCACCCGTCGTCAGCATCAGGTGCCCAAGCCTTTCAGTCAAGACAGGAGAGCATAACAACATCGGCTCCCCAGCCGTTTCATTCTCAAGCGCCAATGAGTGCGCATCATCCGCATCAGCTGCTCAGGCCTTTCAGCCGCCCATTCCCAGCCAAGATATACGGGCATCATCAGCGTGAGCTCCCCAGCGTTTTCATCATTTTTCATCCTCAGGCGTCATCTGCCCAAGCTGATCAGCCGCCAAGTCCAGAAGAGCATCATCAGCATCAGCTTTCAAGCGTTTGCACCCTGCGAACGAGCGCACATCGTGAGCATCAGCTGCCCAATCCAATCAGCCACCATGTCCGCATCTGCCCCGTCGAGACAGGAGAGCACCGTTTGGATCTGCTTTCCAATTTGTTGGTCCTGCGGCGCCAGTGAGCACACATCATTGGCATTAGCCTGCTGCCTTAACCGAATCAGCCGCCCTGTTGTTAAACAGACCGGCCGAGACCAGAGTGCGGTTCCGTAATGTTTGCTGGTGGAGGCACGAGCTTTGGCTCGAGTGTTTCCGTTTTTCTGGGCCATCCATCCTTTTCGCATTAACCTCTAGCCGAACAGCGGCCAGACGTTGTTCTTTGATGTGCCTGGGTTGCAAGTGAGGATCACCCAATGTGCAACACTCGGGTGCTCACTGATGGTCTGAATGGATCTGCACGCAGCTGAGGCACATTGGAGTTGTTGCCTCAGTATTCCAGCGCAGAAAGACTTTGGAAGCGGGGTGGCCATCCTGCTTGCCGGGAAACACGCGTGCAAAGACGAAGCACCCCAGGCTTTTCGCCTCTCGTGGTCAATCGTTGTGCTTGTGTCATCCGCAGCGGGCCTGGCATTCGTTCAGCTGCACCCGCGGCCGAGAACACGTATTTGCAGTCCCGGGCATGGTGCACCATCGGCTCCCTGTCAAGGGCAGCTTCGAATTCGCCGATGGCGAGACACCGCCGCGACACAGACACCCGAATCTCGGTGGCAAGGATGTCATTACTCGCCTTTCTTGCCGCACACCGATCTCAACAGTCTCCGCGTGCTCATGTGTGCAGCAACGCTGCTTCTGCAGCGTTATGGGCTCTAGCTGGGTTTGCAATGCGTCCTCCACAGTTCGACCAAGCGTAAACTCTAGGAAGTTCTGCCTTTGACCAAGGCCACATCGGCAAATGCGGCGCGACACCAGCCTCCATCACCACCGATATCACCATGCCCATCATGCCACCGTTGATTCTGTGGGCGGCCCGGGTTGTGTCAGAAGGTTCTGGTTAGCAGAGCCAAGATTTCGAGTCATTAACTTGCTCAAGCAGGGTCTGTCGTCCCCATTGGCAGGTTGGCGAGGCAGTGCTATCCCAGGCCGGGGGACGCTGCGAAGCAGCTGCTTCGTGTGTGCGCATGCCGAATTTCGGAATCGTCAGGTAGACAATCTGCAAGACCCACGGCCCGCTGACAAATTTGGAGGCCCACAGGCAAGCTGTGGGGCAGCTAGAGCGTAGCGGATCTAAGGAAAGACCCAGTTAGGTTCTAGGCACCGTTAGATTTTTGCCGACCTGACAGAGAGGACACGGATCGCCTGGACGAGGTCGGGCTGGGCAACGGCACCCAGCCGAAAGTGGAGGGCAAGCGAGCTCAATCCTCGGTTCGATCTGAAGCCGTTGCTGGACGGCCAGCGTCAAGCCACACCAAGGCATGGAGCCAGTGGGCGTGTGCACTGATGTGCGCAAGCAGAGCCGCAGAAGGCTGCTGTTCCTACAAAGGCACACATGCGGAATTGACTGAGAAGCAGTGGGAGCTTGTCTTCAGTGGAGTCTTCTGTGGTCAGACGACTCGGGCAGCTGTGAATTCCTTCCTGGGAGCCCGGCGAGAACAACTGAAACAGGCCGTTCGGACAGCCAGTTTGCAGCCATACATTTGTCGAGTGCGGTGCATTTCTATCAGAAATCCAGAGGCTGGACACAGGCGCAATGCATTCCAGGCTTCGGCACTGCGAAGTGTGGGCGGCTCAGAGAGCAGAGAGGCAGAGCGGAGTGGAGCAGAGCGGAGAGACTCAGCTGACTCGAGGCACGCCATGGAGTGCGGGCCGCTGCGGCCGCGCCGGTGCCAAGCCGGAGCCGGCTCGGGGGCCCAGCCGGGACCCGGACAAAAGTGCATCTCACACGCGAACCTTTGCGTGTTCGAGAAGCAGAGAGCGTCCGTCTCCGTCTCGTGTCGCGCGCATTCCCCGGTTTGATCTGCTCAGACGAAACAGATCACAGGTTCAACCAGGGTTTGAGGGGCTCGCCAGTGCAGCAGTTCTGCCCGAAGCTTCAACGTCTTGTTAGAGACGAAACAACAGGGATTTGGGGATTCTTTTTCTTCGCCAGATTTCAGAAAAATGTTAGTGTTGTCAATTTCTGCACATGTTTAGGTTTTCGGATCGGCAAATCTTTGGTGTCCCGCCAGATTACGGCCCAAAAACTGGTCATTCTAGGCCAGTTCTGATGTTTCCGGGCAGAGGTTGCCAGGCTTTGGAGAGTATGTGGTCCCAGGCATGGACACGGCATTTTGGTTTGATCTTTCTGGTTGCCGGTCGGGTTACGGGGATTGCTGTACATCTGCAGGCCGAATTTGCGGAGCGCATCGTTGGACTCAATCGCAACTTCGACAACCGAAACTGTTGGCAGGAAATAGGTGGTTTCAGGTGGTTTCCAGGCACGCCTGCAGCACCGAGCACCGGACCCCAAGTTTAGTCTGCTCTGCTGCATTACCGCACAAAAGGCCAGCGGCTTGCGTGCTTCCTGCCCTTCCTGCAACCAATTTCCATTTGCCCGGCTGGTGGTGGCTGGGCAAGGTTTAAATAGATGGACCGCCTTCAAGTTGACTTACACAAATGCTGCGCTGGCACACGCAAACTCTATCGCCAAAGGTTGAGCTTTCAGGGTTTAGGGTTTGGGATTGGGGGCGGCGTGTGATCTGATAAGCGGCTCTTTGTCGGGCCGTCCGATCCGGTGCGCTTCGCGGCCTGATCCTCTCAAATGGGCCGATCAGTGGGTCTACGGTCGCGCAACGACCTAGAAGCCTTCAGAGCACCAGTGAAGTCTGCATGATGTTCCTTGGTGTGCCTTCTCCTCATGCAGAGGCCTCGCCTGGGCTGCCGGTCTGGGAGCTCATCTGGGAGGCCTTCTGGATGTCTTGTCACTGGTTCTGACATCTACAGCTCCCCTTCAGGATCATTTCGACTCTGAGACTTGCGTCCCTGATACGTCGGGAGTCCTGCGGCCTAGCCCGGAGTTCTGGAGTGCCTCGGCTTTTCCAGTCCTGGGGTCCACCAGCAATGCAGCCCGAATCTTCCAGGCGCTGAAATCGGATACAAGAGGGGCAAGGACCCATGGGTGGTGTCGAAACCTTCGGCGAAGGGTTCGCTGCATATGTGCCTGGAAAGAGACGACAGATAGTCCAGGCAGAAAGGCAGGTCTGTTTGTGTTACGCTCTTCAGACAGCTTGGCATTGTAGATGCTCAAACTCAACAGCCGCTGGCTTCGAGAATCGGCGCGATCTACTAATACCCTGTATCTCGACCCAAGAGTGGTTGACCCACCAGCGGTTCCAGACCGGGGGACCTGGTCTTAGTTTGACGGCACACATCAACAAAAAGGGCGAACACCAAGCAATCGAAGCGACGGACGCGCAGCGTTTCGGATGCTTTAGACAATACAGTAGGAGCAAGTCAGGAAAAACTCTGCAGTGCCAGAGTGCTGGTTGTGGGGGTTGATCTTTGCTTGTCATCTCGTTCTCCTCCTCCTACTGCTCCTCCTCCTGCTCCTCCTCGTGTGGGAGCACCGTTCATTTCTCCTCTCAAACGTGTGGTTGGAGGCCTTGGGGGGGGGTAGGTTTTTGTCAATTAAGATTTTTTTTTTTTCGGAGGCTCTTCCCCAGCTTACTGTACAAATCAACCAGCAGCTAGCACCTTCCAGACGAAAACATTGCTCTGCTTCTGTCAACACATGTCAATACAACATGGTACTGTGGCTCCTAGAAGCTCTGCTTAGTCAGCGAGTGGAGCTGTCCTCTCAGTGCGTGGCTCTCAAGTTTAATATATTGTCTGCGATGGTTAATTTTTACAGCCAGCTGGGAGTTTAAGAGCTCCCACACGAGCCACTGGTTACAACCCGGCCAAAATCACTGAAGCGACCCCGGGAAGACAGAATGGGCCTATACATGTCGGACCGATCTATCCTTGAGTTTGTCTACATGCACACACATGTCTGTGTGTATATGTACATATACATATGAATCAACAGAATTAAATCTATAATATTCTATAATTAAGTAAGCAAGAACATGAAGAACACACACACACATATGTATGTATGTATGTATGTATGTATGTATGTATGTATGTATATGCACCCACACTAATCTATAGCCATGCGATGTTTTGTCGCCTGTACATGTAGCATGGTCGTGTATCATGCAGGTGTGCCCAATTGTTTGCACTTGGAGAAACTTGATGTGGGTACAAAGTACAAACGGTTCGTTGATTGACATTGCACATCCGTAAACATGAACATGAATATGTATGCATGCACGCAGGTTGACGATGCCCAAGGCAAAGCACAGCTTAAATCTACATGAACCGGCTGCGGCTCTATATCTCTAGCTCCGTCGGTCTGTCTGTTTGTTCTCAGTCAGTCAGTCAGTCAATCAGCCTATCTGTCAGTCAGAATGTCTGTCTGTCTGTATGTATGTATGTATGCATGTATGTACGCATCCATGTCTGTATGCTGTGTCGATAGCCCAATGCACGTCGATTTTTGCAGTTGCTTGTTGCATGAATCTCCGAGTCCTCACACAAAGCGCAGTTGGCTCCCAGAAACGCCCGCATCGGTGCATGCCAACATGCAGATCATGTTTTTGATTGGAGCTTCTCGACAGGAGTTGCAATGGTATCAGCCAAAAAATGCAGAGTGAATCTCGGGCAGCAAGAGAGCGCCTTCCGCAGCACCCTCCGAGCCATTTGAGTTCCTCTCCCTGTCTGGGTCCACGGTCGGATGTGCTGCCCCTGTACCCTGCGCAGACTGTAGTGTAGCGCACGTGTGCGAGTAGGAACAAGCACTAGCGATCGACCGCAGCACGCCGGCTCGATCGCTTTTTCTGTTTCCCCTCGTCCTTTCGCCTCGCCGTGTTCTGGTCATGTCGACTGGTTCCGCCGCCTCGCCTTCCGCCGCCGCTGCTCGGGCGGCCACTACGGCTGCTGAGGCCGAGGTGCTCGACTGGGCGCCGCCGTTGCCTGCGGACGTCCAGTCGGGCGACGAGGAGGAAGAGATCATCACCGGCTTCATCTCGCCCGCCCCGGGCATTTCTGGCGCCGCTGGCGGCACACATGCTGCCACGCAGACTGAGGCGCATGTCTTCATTTCGACCTTTGCGGCAGGGGCGTCGGACGGTGAGCTCGCCGCAGCTGTGGGCGCCTTGTCCGCAGTCGACTTGGCTCGCCTTATGGCGGCTTGCGCGGCGGCCCAGCCCACGGCTGGTCCCTCGACGCCGGCTATTTCGTCTCCGTCCTCTTCGTCCGGGATTACCCCACCGACGGGCACGACATTGTCGGCTACGCCTCCGCCCTTGACGGCCCTCTCGGCATCTTCGACCGCCCCGCCGGACGCAGGGCCCGCGGAGGCTTGGCTCGCCCCGCCTGGGGCTCAGTCGTCGGTGGTGCCCGGCCCGTCCGCCGCGGAGGCCCGGCAGTACTGGACCGACCAAGAGGCGATGCACCAGGTCGCTGAGCCGGCGACGGCAGCCAACATCGCCGTGCCGGAGGATGACGACGCCGACCTGGAGGGCGAGTCCGGGCTGGACGCCTACCTCGCCGGCCTATCGGGCGCCGTGCCCAAGGCCCCGCCAGACACGACTGTGCCTTTGCCGTTTGAGGCGTTGTGCCCTGCGGGCGCCTACGTGCGACCCAAGCGGGGGCTGGCACCTCCGCCCCCCCCGCCGCCTTCTTTAAAGATCGCTCGCGGTTATGTTCTTTACGAAACATATATGTATTTAATAAAGAGCTGTATCTGTTTAGCAAGAGGATATATCCTGTTATTAAGTATGTATAAATGAATATAAGTCGTTTTAACTATTGCTAAACAACTTTAATACTTATGTTACTTATGAAAGTTGTGTATTTGTTTATCTAACCCACTGAAGTGCTACTAAGATTTACCCAACAAACTAACTGCTTACCTGCATTTAGCCAAATGATTAAGTAATGGTTTAGGCAAACTTAACAACTGTTTAGCTAAGTCCTAGAAGGGCTACTAACTAGTTAGCATATCCGGATTTAAGTATTTAGCTAACTACCCGTGCGTTGTTTCGGACACACGTTTTCATGCCATGCTCACTAGATTCTACAGTAGGCGAACATGGCGATTTCTGGTTTTGTGAAAGCCATGCGGCTGTTTTTGAATTCCAAACGCCCTTCAGTTGCATCTAACAACCCTGCAGCTTGCAACTTGTCTCAAGGAAATTCCAAGGCTCCAGATCGAGGATTTGAGTTGTTGGATGCAGGAAGTTGACAGAAATGGAGATGTAACTCCGAGGACATGGCAAAGCATTCGGACATGTTGCCAATTGCGACATCCCGGTGGCTCAATTTCAGGAGCAGCCATCTGGCTGTCATGATATGCATGATCTGTAGTCAAGCCGTCTGGCTGTTTAGTGTAGGTGCGAGCCTGAAGGCTGTCCATGTACCATGCATATTTGTTGCTGCTGTTGCATGGAGAATGGTGATCGCAAGTGCAGCAGCACATTCTGGCACAGCTGGTATCTGCGATTGGGCATGTGTGCATTCTCGAAGTTTTGCAGAGCCGACGGCTTGCAGGATGGCAGTACGGCCCTTAAGTTCGGGGCCAGAGAGAAAAACAGCAGGTAAGGACATTCGCCATGCACTATATCATGTTTCTATATAGTACACTTCCAGCAGGACTGCTCCAGTACTCCTGGACCATGCAGAACCTTTTCGCAAGCACAAAAAACTCCTGCCGCCTTTAGCAACCGTGCAAAGCTTCACTTCCGGAAGCATCATGGACGTCACTCCCGAGCTGCAAAAAGCCGTGCAGGCTGTGCTCGATGACACATCCGTCCCGCTACTCAGCCGGTGGCAGCGAGTAGCTGACAAGTTGGTCGAGGGTGGACTGGCATGGCGGGCGAAGTTGCAAGCGAGCAGCATGCTGGTCCACAACCACAACAGGGGCGGTCTCGGTGTCAGTGGACATGGGTGCCACCTGAAAGGCGAAGCCCTGGCCAAAAGCGGCTTCGACATGAAATTCCTCCTTTCAGCTGTCTGTTGCTTGGCTGCTCTGAGTTTGTTGTTTGCAAGTATGACAAAGCGGTGTATCTGCCCATTTGCTGCATGAGGTTTCGAGATCAGCCACGAGCCGAGCCGACTGGCTGAACAGCTGGAGTTCAACCGTAAGTTGGTGGAGCAAGCCTCCGGGCTCTTGGCGCCGCTGCAGGGTGCAGAAAGATACTTGTCCGTGAGTTGCGGGCACACAACTCAGTTTGTGAAGGCCGTCCTCTGCAGCTGCCAGACACCCGTGCTGTCTCTCGCCGACCAGACAGGCCGACTGAACAGGGAGGCCCTGGGCAGAGATAGCCATCTGAATGAGATGCTCTCCGAAGGGTGGACTTGGCTGGTGATTAGCTCTCGGGCTGAGTCCGCCTTTCCGCAGCTGCCTTCATTGGCCGAAAAGGCAATGAACAGCTCCAACTCAGCTTTCACGGCGACGATGGAAGTAGAGAGCATGCTTCATATGCAGGAGATCATGCAGAAGCAGATCGCTGAGGGCAAGGAGATCGATGTTGAGGCCGTCGCCTCCGAGGTGGTGCCTGTTGGGACGACATTGATGCAATACTCTCCGTTTTTGTGCCGATGGCTCGAAAAGTTCAGCGACGGCGGAAAGTTTCTCACCCAGTTCCTTTCGCCGTTTAGCCGAGAGCATGGAGGCAACTGTAATCTGGGAGAAGATTTTTGGGCCATGGCCGCAGGCAGAGGCACTTTCGCTGGCAATGCGGCAATGCCAATGGTTCGGCTGGCCATGCTAGCGACCAACTATGCAGCTCCTGGGCACAAGATGGTTGACGGCTATGCGAAGCTGATCGTCCAGGCTGACTGGACCAAAATGAAAAGCGCCAAATTTCAGCCGAAGGTGAATGAGATGGAGCAGCAGCTCTACGAGTGCTGGCGAGTGGCAGAGAAGCAGCTTCCGAGCTTGGACTCGGTCCGCACCTTCGGCAAGTGCTGCATTCGCATGGCACTCCATGTGCTCCAGAAAGAGTCGCTTGATTCGTTTGATTTCTTGGTTTGTTGTGCATGCTGGCATTCTCAAAACATCTGACGACCCCTATAGCCTAAAGAGAGAGACCTCTAGATTGGTCAACATTTGAGGAAGATGGGCCGAGAGGCCAAGACGTACAAGTCCCTTGCGGAGATCCGGGCACTCTTCGATGACCAAATGGCTGGGGTGGCTGCTGCCTTGTCACCGCTACAGCAGAAAAAAAATGCAGGAGCCAGTGTGGCTAGCTTGAGCGAGAACTACGACCCCCTCTACCAAGCGATGCAGCAAATCAAGCTGGAACTTGGCATGCACTACATCATGGAGGACAGGATGTGGAAGCTCGTAGCTATGTCATCGGCCACTTTGTCTCTAGAGCTTTGCGATCTCTTCGAGGCGGAGAGCAGGGACATCCCGACGGTGAAGGCGGTCAAGCTCCTCAAGGCCACGAAGCAATCAGCTCCCGAGCTCTTGCCGGCTACAATCTGCAAGAACAGGGATGTGCAGCACCTGTTTGCTATGGAGGCCATGCAAGCCGCTGCCTGGGTTTATTTGCTGAAACAGGCGGAGAAGTACGAGAAGTTGTGGAACTACATTTGCTTGGATGGCACAGGCAAAAAAGCTTACACTTCTGTGAAGATTCCCAAAGGCGGCCTCATGCTGGTTCCCTCGACAGATTCGCCCCACAAGCTGGTTCAAAAGGAGCCCGATAAGAAAAAGCCATACGGCTTCTTCAAGTTCGGAGGGACGGATTTCTATATCCTTCCACCCGCCATTTATCGAAAGGGTGACGGCTTGGCGAAGCCAGACACTGGGAGCACGTGTGCTTACTGGTGGGTGCAGAGGGGCCAAACAGCAGGGTCGCAGGATCCATGCTGCATGGAGGAGCACGAGTGGCACGTGGGCAAGAACAACATGATCGTCGTGCTCCAGAACTCCGTGCCGATGGAGAAGCACACCCTCCTCACCATGGAGCTGGAGGAAGAGGAGGAGGAGAATAGTCGACCTGCGAAGAAGGCCAAGAAGTGAAGAGCCCTCGAAGGGGCTGCAGATGTTGCAGGAGCTGAGTAGAAAGCTTCTGTCTATGCAGTCGCAATCGTATGGGTAACCTTGTCGGTTGAAGAAGATTGCAGATATTTCATGTCTGAGTACATCAGTTCTATAGCTCTGCAATCCAAATCGTTTAATCAACCTTTTCGCCTCAAGCGGACTGCACATGCTTGATTAGCCTCTGGCTCTGCAGTCTGAACAAAATTTTCGCCCTGCAGGCTCGCATTCGCAATGTTGTGCAGCATAGCAGTTCTAATCAAGCCGAATGCCTATACATCAATTTATGTGTTGATCAGCTCTTAAGCTTTGCAGCCCTGCAGAAGCTTTCTCAGCTGGGATCTCAAGAAACACCGGCGCCGAGGGGAAGAGAAAAGAAAAGTTACAGCAGGTGCATCTGCATGAGTAAAGCTGAAAACGAGCCTCTGTGTGAAACCATAAAAGCTGTGCGGCTGAGGTCCTCCTGCTTTTGAGTTTTGCCTTCGGGTTGAGTCGCAGTCATGGTGAGTGTGGAGAGGCAGTATGCATTGTCCTTTGAGAAGACTGGCCGAAAGTGGGTGGTTCCAAGCTCCTTCGTGCACGAAGACCGCTGGTTGCAATTGCGACCTACTTGCTACGGCCTCTGCAGCCTGCTCGGTGCACCGGGATCCACCAAGAATCCCAGCCTCCGGGCTTGCAAGGGCTTGTCATGGCTGCAGGCAGAGCGGAACAAGATGCTGAAGCTGCTTCCACAGTCTGACGACTTGTTCGGAAGCGATCAGCAGCTTTCGAGCTCTAGTTCGAAGAAGCGGAAGGCGAGCCAGCAGGCTGAGCAGGAGAAGGAGCACGTGGACATCAATATAGGTGACGGCCGCACAGTCTGTGTAAGGGCATGCACCAAGAAGTCTGAGGATGTTCAGGTGTTGCTGGAGCCAGAGGCTTTGGACGTGGTCTTCTCTTACCTCACCAGTGAGCCCTTCGAGTTCCAGGCGGCGACTCGCAGCTATGTCCGCAGTGGCAAGTTCAAGAAGGACAAGAAGAACCAACCCAGCGAAGACTCAGAGAATGCGGAGGACTAAGTGCACAGTTCGGGTGCTGCAGCCTCTGGCTCCTTGCTGTTTTGTCCTTTCTGCAGATGCAGTGGCTGGACTTTGCTGCTTCGATCAATGCAGGGCTGCAGCCTCTGGGCTTTTTCTTTCCGTCCCTTCTGCGAAGGCAGTGCTTGGACTTTAGATCATCTGTACAGCTTTTGCTATGTGTATATTTTACCCTGGGCTTTTGGGCCGGCAAGCCTTGCAAATTTTGCACTTCGAGGTCAAAAAAAAAAGTAGTCCAACATGCTTTAGGCAACAGTAGATATGTTGTTTCCAGCAGCATGCTGATGCCTATACGACTGTGCGGGTTTGTATAGGGTTTAAGGTTTATAGGGGTTAGGGTTTTACGCTTTAGGGTTTAGACAATATACAGGATATAAGCCTCAAGAGAACCTCAACGAATGCAAAGCTTTCGGGCTCACACATTCCGAAACCCTATTCCCGCAACCCTAATGCCTATAAAAGCATTGGTGAGTTTCTGCAGTCCAAGGTTTTAGCAGCAGCCTTCGGGCTTGGCTTTCAAAACGAGATTGTATATACACCTGCAGCCAGCAGACCAAAACCCACAGGAACCCCCGACCGACCCAAAACCTTTATATTATCTATATATATCTGCACTGATGACTACCCCAGGTTTTCTGAGGAGCCTTCGGGCTTATTAGCTTTC